TCGTACATAAAAGGACTGAGGAAAGACCTTGTCGGGGTAGCACCCCTAAAGGTGGGAAATACCATCATCAGTGACAGTGGGAAAAAAGCAGAAGTACTCAGTTCACAGTTCAAAAGTGTTTTCACAGAGGAAGACACCACAGATATGCCATCTCTAGGCCAGCCCTGTACTCCTCCAATGGAACATATAGTAGTTTCTACTGATGGTGTCGAAAAAATGCTCCAAGGTCTCAATCCCTCTAAAGCATCCGGACCAGACCAAATACCACCGTGGTTCCTCAAGTTGACAGCTAGTGAAATCGCGCCTGTTCTAACCAATATTTTCCAACACTCGCTAAACACTGCAGAAATCCCTAAAGATTGGAGGGATGCAAATATATGCGCCATCTTTAAAAAGGAGATAGAGCGGTCCCCAGCAACTACAGACCTGTTTCACTGACCTGCATATCCTGACAAACTACTTGAACATATCATCCATAGCCAAATCATGAAGCACCTAGAAAGTTACAGTATATTAACGGATTACCAGCATGGATTCAGAGCCAAACGATCCACAGAAACACAGCTTATACTAACAGTCCATGACATAGCTGGCGCACTAAACAGTAAACGGCAGGTAGACTTTAGCAATACTTGATTTCACTAAAGCCTTTGATAAAGTCCCCCATGGCAGGCTCATCTCAAAACTGGAGTATTATGGAATCCAAGGCCCTAGCTGAATTGGTTAAAGGCTTTCCTGACCAACAGGGAGCAAACAGTAGTGGTTGAAGGGAAGGCGTCGGCTCCAGTTAAAGTAGCGTCTGGGGTCCCTCAAGGAACCGTCCTGGGGCCATTGCTCTTTCTCTTGTATATAAATGACCTACCAGATCAGCTTGACTCAAATGTGAGGTTATTTGCCGATGACTGTCTATTGTATGTAGAGCTTTCTACACAGACCGACACACAACTTTCTCCTAAAAAGACCCTGTAACACCCTGGAAGAATGGCAAAGCAAATGGCTCATGCAGTTTAATCCCGAAAAATGCTACATTATGCACATAACAAACAAACGAACACCACATGCAACTAGCTACCAGTTTTGTGGTCAGGCTTTAGCAACCACAAAAATCCATCCGTATCTGGGCGTCACGCTGACAAGCGGACTGAAGTGGGGTACACATGTTAATAATATCACAACTAAGGCGAAACAGACATTGGGAGTGATTAAACGTAATCTGTGGGCATGTCCAACTAGAGTAAAATCACTTGCATACACGTCACTTGTAAGACCGAACCTAGAATACGCTGCGACAGTATGGGATCCATATACAAAGAAAGACAAAGACAAATTGGAAAGGGTACAGAATCAAGCTGCAAGATTCTGTATGAACAACTATGTAAGAGGTGCTAGTGTCACGGAAATGAAAAGAAACCTACAGTGGACTTCACTGGAAGACAGAAGAAAGATGTCTAGACTATGCATGATGTACAAAATGACTAATAAACTGGTGGATGTCCCAACTACTAAGTACCTAATACCAGCCCAGAAGAGAACAAGAAATAGCCACGCATTCAAGTACCAGAGTTATCAACCAAGGATTGAGGTGTTCAAGAATTCATTCTTTCCTAGAACTATCGCAGAGTGGAACTCACTGTCACCAAGTACAGTAGGGGCATTGTCAATAGATAGCTTTAAACAATGTCTAGAGCTAGAAGTTCAAGGGTTAGGTGTAACAAGTCGATCGGTGTAATATAGCCAGCTGCCGCCGCGCCGCGTGCCTGCGAAGCTGGTGTGTTACGCCGAAAGGCGGTTATACCGGCTATACAGATACAGATACAGATCGACATCTGTTTGTCCCATCAGCTACCCAATGTCCAATGCCAGAGAACGGAGCGCTGAGCCCTGAAGGAGCGAACTCCTACAATGACGTGGTGACGTTCACCTGTAACCAGGGGTACCAGCTGGAAGGAGCCTCTAGTGTGAGGTGCCAGGCGGACCGAACTTGGAGTGGTCCTGTTCCAACATGCACAGGTAAGACAGTTTGCAGTAATAAATCGTCTCAGTCCTTATTCCTGGTGGCACATCTGTGAATTAAGTGACTTGTTTGTTGTCCAGTTAGAATGATCAGTATGTGGAAATGGAGGCATTCAAATTGGGGGAACCTGAAATAGTGGTAAGCGTAGTATACCAGAAGGTTTTTTTCTCCTCATTTGCTTTGTTTAAGTCAATTATATAATGTTTCAGACTCAATGTTTTGTGACCTCTTTGCTTTACATTAGATAGTCATTCAGCAACATTCAGAATGATAAAAATGTAGCCTTTGTAGATGAGGTAAAGTGTGTTTTAGATTAAGCAAGTTGATGCAGATGTTATTATATACCTGAATTAGTGCATGACCTGTGTTGTGGTTATGAAGGTCAGACTGGATTGCCCTTTTTCACATGCATCACATTCATTATTAACTCTGTCAACTCATTTTGAATTTATTCACAGGAATTTCAGCCAGTAATACTTGTCTCGTCTGTTAATTCTAAACTCTTTGCAGATATTGACGAATGTGCAACAGACAACGGTGGATGTGCCGAAACCTGCACCAACGTCCCAGGAAGTTACACCTGTTCCTGTCGTCAGGGTTACGTGTTAATGCCAGACAAGCTTGGATGCGAAGGTATAACTGGCCATGAGCTCTTTTTCACATGCATCACATTCCTTATTAACTCTGTCAACTCATTTTGAATTTATTCACAGGAATTTCAGCCAATAATACTTGTCTCCTCTGTTATTTCTAAACTCTTTGCAGACACTGACGAATGTGTGTGTCAGTAACTGTCAGTGTCGATCGGCTCGAGTAACCGCCGAGCCGATCGACAAATCACAAGAAATCCAACATGGCGGCCTTTGTTTTCATAGCGTGGTGTCTAATGGTCTACATTTGCTTGATTTTTTTTTTACAACTTATTAAATCAACATGGTTTTAAACGTTCCCAAGCAGCAAATTTATAGAAAAGTGTGCTAAAATTTCACAACTAATGATGATTTACGTGAGGAATACTGTGTAGAAGTTGGCAACATTTGCGAGTCGAAGGTTCAAACATGGCGGCGGCGGACCGGCGGCTGCTTTTGTTCACTCACGCGCCCGGCCCACAGCGGCTCTGATCCACGTTGTTGGAAATGCTGTCCATTGCATCCAGGACCCTGAGTTTGCGTTTATGGGCAAGTGTCATGTCGAAGAAACCATGTTCTAACCGCGCGTCCCGAAAAAAAAAGATTGATATTGCCGTGCCGACTGTCGGTAAGTTTGCCGACAGAGACGTTGTTAAAAATACCGACTCGCGAAGTCATAGACCTCGTGAACTCCCAAATTGCTCCATCTCGTGAAATAAAGCATTCGTGAACATAACTGGACTTACAGTATTATTAATAGAATTATTATTCATAGAATTATATTGTTAACACAGGAATTTCAGCCAATCATGCTAGTCTCGTCTGTTATTTCTAAACTCTTTACAGATATTGACGAGTGTGCAACAGACAACGGTGGATGTGCCCAAACCTGCACCAACGTCCCAGGAAGTTACAACTGTTCCTGTCGTCAGGGTTACGTGTTAATGCCAGACAAGCTTGGATGCGAAGGTATAACTGGCCATGAGCTCTTTTTCACATGCGTCATGTTAGTTAGTTTGTCGACCACTCACTTATTTTATTTACAGGAATTTCAGCCAATCATGCTAGTCTCCTCTGTTATTTCTAAACTCTTTACAGATACTGACGAATGTGCAACAGACATGTGCCCTTATTGCTTATTTGAATGTTGCCCTCCCACATTGTGTTACCTCTTGTTGTGTTAATACTGAGTTCTTGTTTCACAGTGTGCGGCCACTGCCTGGGCGGGGACGTGAACTGTGACCCAGTATCGGGTGTCTGCTCGGCTGGCTGCCAGGATGGATGGAAAACACAGCTTTGTGATAAAGGTATCGTATGCGCCAATAGCAGTGTCCTCTTTCACAAATTGTGTATAAACCTTTTTCCCTAAATTCTGTTTTATTTAGAAAAATGAATTGCATAATTTTGTGACCTGGACTTGCAGGCCTTTTAAAAATATGCTAAATGCATTGTGTAGGGATATCTGTAATTTAATGAGGTTATAATGCGGTTATGACATTTACATCTAGTTCAAGAGTAAACATTTCTTAACTCTGTTTTGATCCTTTTTCTTGCAGCTGTGGATCCACCAATGGACCTGACCGTAACTGACATCACGGACGAAGGGTTCAAGGTCACCTGGTCTCCATCCCCTGACCCTGACCTTCAGGGGTACCGTGTGGTGGTGTCCGAGCTGGACATGACGACAGCTGTCAATCAGAGCACAATTCAGACATGGCTTCAGGTGGTGGGACTGACACTGGAAACTGATTACATCATCAGGGTGACGGTGTCGGTCCTGTCTGATGGTAGCTGGGCACAGAGCAACGCGACAACGGCAGAGGCAACCACAAGTAAGGAAAGCCTACTTCTGATGAGGCTACAACAGAAATAAGGGCTTTACCAGGATAAGATGCATGTCTGTGACAGTAACATTTGTAGAGGTTTGCTGAATTAGCTATGATTAATAATAATCACATTTACATGTTATGTAGAAACTACATTTTGCAATATGAGAAAGGGATGGAGTAAGTTTGGATCCCCTGGCAGTTTTCTCAGGAACTACAGAGAGGAGAGGAGCACCTTTTTTCCCCTTGGTCATTTCGCTCCCTTTATCAAGCTACATAATATTAATGATATTAAATATATGATAATCATGTAGAATAATTCCTGAACATTTACATATCATATAGAAACTATTATAATTTTGCAATATGAGAAAGGGAAAAGCTTCTTAAACTACAAGTTCCTTTTAAAGTTTAGTTTATCAAGCTTGGTGAAGACAAATTTTTACCCTTTATTTTCAGGAATGGTCTCCTCCACTGCCCTGGAGTTTGTTCCTGTGACTGAGACGACCACCTCGCTGGGGTTCACCTGGGTGCCCCCTGAAGCGGTCGTGACCGGATACCGCATCATGTACGGACAGGAGGCGGCAACAGAACAGCTCAGCCCCTCCCCGGGTCCAGGAGAGAGCTCTGCTCTCATTGGCGGCCTCCAGCCCGCTGTGATGTACAAGGTGGAGATCATCACCATCGGAGTTCGCCAGGAAAGTCTGCCTCTAGTCGGCCAGAAGGAGACTGGTGAGACAACTTCACCAGTTATTTATCTAATAAACACTGTTTTTGCTCTGATGTAGAATTTTCAGACATCTACAGTTTATACTGGGCCAAACCCCATATGGGGCATCCCAGGGTTGATATTTTACTCTGACTACAAAATATTGACCATGATTCAGCTTTCAGATGAGAAATTTAACTTGTAAAATTGTAGCCATTGTAGAGGTAACACTTGTAGGTGTTTCAGATCTTAAATTTGCCTCTGTAAAAAATATAATTTTGTATTGTCATGTTACATTTCTGAATAAATAAATAAAAAAGATAATGTCTTTGCAGAGCCTGACGAATGTGCGACCGAGAACGGCCGGTGTGACCAGATCTGCACCAACGTCCCCGGGAGCTACAGGTGCTTCTGCCGTCATGGATTTGTGCTCATCGAAGACTCGCACGGCTGTCGAGGTGAAAAAGTGCAGTTGTTTCATGATTGTAGTTTGCCACAAAGGCATATATTTACACAGTGTAGATACGCAAAGCCCTTCTTCTTTGACTTTATTCAAAACACTTTTAATCTGGTCTCCTTCACATCAGTTCAGGATCAATATTACGACAAGCAGTTTATTCTTTCAAGTAGCTTTTACATGATAATATACTTTTCTAACTGACTAAACTTTTCTCCCATTTTTGAAAAAAAACGACATTACCTCTTGTTGTGTTGATACTGAGTTCTTGTTTCACAGTGTGCGGCCACTGCCTGGGCGGGGACGTGAACTGTGACCCAGTATCGGGTGTCTGCTCAGCTGGCTGCCAGGATGGATGGAAAACACAGCTTTGTGATAAAGGTATCGTATGCGCCAATAGCAGTGTCCTCTTTCACAAATTGTGTATCAATGTTAATAGAGTCAATTCCGCGTCACCGAGTGGGTTGTTATTGTCATTATTTAGAAATGTTTTGAATTCTTTGTAATTGTTTGTCTAAGAAATTTCATAATTTGGAAATATTTTGAACATCTTGTCAATATTCTAAATAATTCCCTGGTTTTCTAAAACGTTTGAAATATTCCTGATGTGGATTATGACATTTCCAATAGTTGCTAAATATTTCTAACAGCACTCTACCATTTTTTACCATTATTTCGAATTATTTCTAACATTTTGTAAATAGGTCAGTGGGATGGGAAGGAAGTAATTCACACATCCCTGTGGAGTACAGGGTAGACTGCCTGGGTGTCAGGCATTGATGCCTTACAACAAAAGAGCCACCAGTGTCCAGCAGTGAAATCTAAAAATATACAGAGGAAGACAGAAGAGTAGGATTAGCACCTACTTTTATGGGGGCAATTACCCACATCTACCATTTGGTTATTTGTTTGAAATAGTTCTAAATATTTCGAATTGTGAAAGAAACACATGGGTAGTTCAAATTTATTCTAAAGAAAAAGATCTTTGTACAGTCACATTCAAAATGTTTCAGAAATATATTAATGAATTCAAATATATTCAAATTTTCATTTTCAAATTTTTGAAAAATTTAGAACTTTTGTTACTGGGGTATTCTTTTCTTCTAAATAATTCAAACGTATTAGAAACATGGAGAAAAAACCCACTCGGTGACGCGGAATGGACTCTACCTAATTTCTGTTTTATTTACAAAAATGAAGCTGCATAATTTGTAACATGGACCTGGACTTACAGGCCTTTTAGAAATATGTTAAAGCATAATTTAGGAATCTCTGTAATTTAATGATGTTATAAATATATAAATGTGGTTATGACATTGGTGCTCTATTTACCTTTATTTCAAAAGTAAACATTTCTTAACTCCTGTTTTGATCCTTTTTCTTGCAGCTGTGGATCCACCGATGGACCTGACCGTAACTGACATCACGGACGAAGGGTTCAAGGTCACCTGGTCTCCATCCCCTGATCCTGACCTTCAGGGGTACCGTGTGGTGGTGTCCGAGCTGGACATGACGACAGCTGCCAATCAGAGCACTGACGAGGCGTGGTTTCCGGTGGTCGGTCTGTTCCCGGAGACTGCTTACATCATCAGGGTGACGGCCCTGTTCTCTTCAGGTGGTTGGAGGTCACAGAGCGAGGCGGCAGTGATACCGGCACGCACAGGTAGGGAGAGTCTAGCTGCTGTTGACTGTTGATGAATCCAAAGATAGAATTTATTCTGACTCTCTATTGATACCAGAACATTGCCAGGTTGTGCATTGCTGAGGTCACCATGAATAAAGACATTTTAATAGGAGTTAGTTTTTTTGAAAGTGTGCATTCTTTCACACGAGGAACTGTTCTGTAGTAAAAAAACCCACAGCCATAACTATGTAACTAATCAAAGGGTTCATCCTTGTATTTAAACGCTATGAGAGCTTGAAACACTTGTCGTTAATGTACTATGTTTATTCCACATGCTTATTCCATACTTGTCCTCCAAAAAGTCACTCTAGGAAATATTGGATTTAGTTCAGATACATGGCAATTGCTAAAACCTCAAATTAGATTTGTATCAGAGGACATCTTGTTGTGTTTAATCAGTACTGTAACAGTTCTTCTCACAAAAGATTTAGAGAAATTCTGTGAAGTCTCTTAACCTGAGTCTTTTCTCTGCCAGCCGCCACACCAACCACAATTCCTCCAACCACAATTCCTGCTGCTACAACCCAGCAGACAAGTCGGATGACCACCCGCCTTTCCACCAAACCTGCGACTTCGACCGTACAACATGCACCTGAAGCTGGGTGGGACGAGGAATCATCTGATGACGGTAGGTTCCCAGCATTGAAACACTGGAGAGGCCATCATTAAGCAATGGACACTTTTCATACAGCTTGTCACTTGAGTCTATGATGTTGCTTGTCAACAAGTACTGAATCTGATGTTTTGCTTGATGAAGCCTGATGTTCCAATGATACCAGCTGTAGTGTTAGTATATTGTTCTACACCTCAAAACTTAGAAAATCGTCTTTACATGTATTCATATTTTGATACTGATGTTTTTTCTCTACAGCCACCACACCATCAGCTGCTGAAACAACTAAGCAGACAAGTGGGATGTCCCACATCCATGTCCACCAGACCCTCGACTCCAACTGCACAACTCGGATCGGATACCGATGGTAGGTTCTTAATATCTGTTTACCTCAGAGTCTGTGCAAATTCGTGGAGCAACCTGGTCACTTTTTACAAGGTAAATGTACAACGTGAATATGATTCATTGATATTGTTAGTCAATGTACAATGTATCTAGTGTGATAAAATGTATGTTTAGACTGGTGTAAATTGTACAGTCTCATAACTGTTTTCTTTTCAGTTGATTGGGGTCCGGCTTTTGAACTATGCTGTTGCTTTGACAATAGAATCTGATCTAACTTACAAACCCATC